AGCATCAGCCCATGCTGTGGTGGCTGAGAAGATTGGAGAGGAAAGAAGCTGCCAGGGATGCGCCAGGCTGGGGGAGGGGGCACGGCCTTGTGGGGGCTGTGGGGTGGTTGAAGCGGGATACAGGATGGAGGGGGTAGGAGGAGCTGGGGGCGGCTGTCCTGGGTGGGGCCTGCTCTTGTTGGCCAGAGTGGGGCTGCACATGCAGGCATGCCTGCATGTGCACGCGTGTATACACAAGCATGTAGGCATACAGCTACACACCAATGGACATATGCATGCACATGTGTACAACCATGCATATGTGCACACACACACACACACACACACACATCTTCCTTTGCTCCCCATCATGCCTCCTCTTTCCATGTCTCTTCCATCAGGAAAGTCAGCCCTCTCCCCTGCCCCCATGGAAGGTGGAGGGGGCTGAGCACTGGGGGGTGCTGGGAGCAGACAGGGATCCCAAGGGAGGGGAGGCTAGGGGGGACAGGTGACCTCGTAGGTCTGGGATTCTTATAGCCAATGGTGCGAAGGGCAAAAAGAAAATGTCAGGAGGTGGGAACAGGCAGGGGTGAGGCGCACCAGCAGTCAGTGCTGTGAGGGGTAGGGGGCTGCAGATCAGGAGTGAGGGACACTGGCAGGGCTGTGGGGACCAAAGGGCTGCAGGTCAGGAGTGAGGGGCACCCCACAGTCTCTCATCTCTTGCCAGCCTCTTTCCTAGCTGCGGAGGGGCTGGGAGCCTGGACACTTGGGTCCCCCCATCTGAGTAGGGCCATGGGACTGTCCTTCTGGCTGGTTCCCAGGGGTTCTGGGGGTCTGTGGGTCTGTGGCTGAGAGGAACTGAGTTGAGCCACATACCCCCACCCTCACCCTCTGCTTCCTCCACACTCAACAACCCCCCAGCCCCTAGGACAAAAGGGAGCGGGGACCCTGACCCCTATCACGTGCTGCTCCCTAGCGGTGAAACCAGAGGTCCCCCACCCCCAGCCAGGAACACCCCAGCCCAGCATAGCCCCACCCCAAGGCCCAGGGACACTCCAGGCATGCAACCCCCACAGATGCCCCCTCCCCTCTTCCCTGCCCCAGCCCCCCTGGGACCCCATAAATGCCCAGACTTGATACTCCTCCACTGGGCAGGGGCCCCGGGGATGGTGGGTTAAGTAGAAATCTGTGTTACAGTGACAGGGGCAATTAAAAATGCAAAGTGAGTGCATCACGTGGGGCCTGGGGGGCTGTCAGGGCCCATCGATGCAGGCTGGGGGCCGGGGGGGGCTGTGTACCCCCCTCTCCCACCCCCCTGCAGTCACCATCCCTGAGAGCTCCCCCTGAAGGGCAGGAACCCCCCGCCCTAATCCCTGAAGCCCCCTCCCAGCCAGGACAGGGCCAGACTCCAGTCTGAAACAGGCCTAGACGAGCACCAGATCCTTTCCCCCACCCCGCACCCAGACACCTGGGTTCCGCCTCTGCCCCTGGCCCATGCAGGGGGGGAAAGGAGGGGCATCAAACACCACCAGCCTCCCTGAATCCTGCACCCTGGCATGACAGGGCACCTGCCCCCAGCCACCCCATCTGATCCGATTACTGCTGGCTCCTGACACAGCCCTGATGCAGCTAATTGGAGCCCAGGAGCTACGGAGGCAAAAGCAGGGGGAAAAGAGGAGGCTAATGCCTGGCCCCCCCCCCCAAACTCCAGTGTGGGTGAGATGGGAGGGATCAGACCCTGCTGGACCTACATAGGGAGTGACCCATTGCTGGAGAGCATGTGGCAGCTTGCAAAGCACTGACCTGAACACCTGGGTTCAATTGCTATAGGGGGAGAGCTGTGGGTGGGGAATGAAGGACACTGGCAGGGCTGGGGGGGAATCTCCCTGACCCCAAATGATGCTGCAGACTCAGCCCCTCTCCCCACACATGGCCAGTGCGTTGCGGGTCCCCTTCCCTTTCTGGTGTCACTTCAATGTGAGTTGCCCATGTGGACCGGGCATATTCGGGGCGTCGGAGCGGAGCTGACCACTCCCCCATCTGTCGCTTCTATCCCAGAGGTGCCCTGAACCAAGACATAGCACAGGCAGCCCTGCCAGTGCTTCTCACTCCCAACCCACAGCCCCCTGCTCCCCCCAGCCCTGCTGGTGCCCCTCACTTCTGACCCACAGCCCCCTGCCCCCTCACTCCAGACCTGCAGCCCCTGCCTCCCAGCCTTGCTGGTGCCCCTCGCTCCTGACCAGAAGCCCCCTACTCCACCCCCCTCCCCCAGCCTTGCGGGTGCAGCTCACTTGCAACCCACAGACCCATGACCACCGCTCCCCTGGGACTCAGTGACACAGATCCCAGCTATGAGACTCACCCCCCAGCCATTCCTCCCCATCTGGCAGCTCTGAGCTTATCCCTGTTGTATAAGGGGGAGGTGGTGGGGAATCCAGATGTAGTACTTCTGCCCAGGCCTCCCTAGGGGACTTCATTCCCTCCCTGCCCCCTGGCTAAGAGACTGGGATGTGCTAGTCTTGACCCACATGTCACAAATAGACAGGCTGCAGGGATGCCAGGGGCACTAGCAGGGCTGGGGAGCAGGGGGCTGCAGGTTGGACCGGGGCCACATGCAAAATCCCAGCCTGACTCGTCTGACAGAAGGGCTGGGGCTGGTTCTCCAGGGTTTGGGGTCCCCAGGGCTCCCCCACCCCTGCCCCCAGTCTGTGAGAGTGGACGGCGGGGGACCAGCACCTCCACTCAGCCCAGATACCGGGCAGGGAGCGGGGAGGCAGACGCCCATTGGACGAGCTCAGGTTAAGACCAAGGGTCCCAGCGGGCAGTGCCTTAGTTTCCGTGCTGGAGCGGCCCGGGAGGAGCCTGGAAGTGAGCACCGCAGGGCAGGAGGGGCCTGAGCCCTCGGTTCCCGCTGGGTCAGCGAGGGGGGGGCAAAGCCCCAGCAGAGCCCCCCCAGGGCGGGGCAGCCCGGAGTGGGGACAGGGGCTGCTATAGGATGGAGGTGGGGAGGGCTGCTGAGCTTGAGGAGGGCAAGACCCATCAAAGATCCTGCCTGCCTGGTCTCAGCCCCCGCGCCCCCTAACCCCCACGTGGCCTCGCCCCCGCCCCCCTCCACGTGGCCTCTCTGCCCAGAACTT